AAAAAGGTTGAGAAGTTAGAGGGCTGATATGTTGTGGGGTTGTTAACCAATGTCATAAAACAACATGTGTACTTCTGTTTCATGAGAAACTATTTGTTCTGTAAGCCTTCACCTGAAGTACAATTAAAAAAAAAAAAACAAAAAAAAAAACAAAAAGCGAAATAAATACTACATTCCATAGTATTAGGATAGAGTTAACTTTAGGGTAGCAAAAGGAAGGAGCATATGATAAACAAATAAATGTGTAAATATATTTTCAAGTCTTATTTTCAATAATGTCATGATGACTGAGACAATGTTAAACACTGCCAATCCATTGACATTAATGTCAGGAAAGCTAACCAAAGCCTACTGGAACAGTAGGTCTCAAACCTAAAACTGAGGAATCTGGTTAAAAAGCAAGTTCTGATTCAGTAGGTTTAGGGTGGTACTCTCTATTTTTACATTTCTAACAAGCTCCCAGGTAATGCCAAAACTGCTGTTCCATGGACTATATTTTGAGTACAAGATGTTAGAACATAACTCTCGGTTTCCCGTTTCAAAAAGGTAATACTTAATATACTATGTTTAACCCATTAAAGTACATCTAACTAATGCTCTTAGACATGCCTAAGAAATGCCTTTCTAAGGTATTTTATAATGATTTCCATCAATATTGGATGAGTTTCAAAAGCTAATATTTTAAAAATCCAAGATGATTTAAGATTCAGGGTATTCAAGATATTCAGACATGTTCTCCCCTCCCCCCAGGACAAAAATTAACTTTGTAATGCTGTTCTATAACACTAAAATTTTGTCATTTTTTAGGCTTACAAATTAGAAAAGATTATTGCTTCTAATCTTAAGGCCGAAGAAAAGTGCTTAGATGACAACACTGCATCTTTTCACCATACATATCTATAGGTTTCAGTAAAACCTGCTTACTTGCTCTCGCAGTATCTTTAGCATCATAACTAAATCCTTGAAGATAAAGGAAACAACTTGTTTGAAAATACCCTATTGAAGAATACCTGAAGATTACAACAATTTAAGATTTGTACTTTTTAAGATTTCTGTACTGAAAGGCATACATTTAATTAAAGTCTTACCATGAACAAAGGTGTCGTTATGGATTGAATTGTGTCCCCGCAAAATGTGTGTCAACTTGGCTAGGCCATGATTCTCAGTATTGTGTGGTTGTCCACCCTTTTGTCATCTGATGTGATTTTCCTATGTGTTGTAAATCCTACCTCTATGATGTTCACGAGGTAAGATTAGTGGCAGTTATGTTAATGAGGCAGGACTCTATCTACGAGATTAGGTTATGTCTTAAATCAATCTCTTTTGAGATATAAAAAGGAGAAGCAAGCAGAAAGACCTGGGGACCTCATACCAAGAAACAAGAGCCAGGAGAATAGCCTGTCCTTTGGACCCAGGGTCCCTGGGCTGTAAAGATCCTAGTCCAGTGGAAGACTAATGACAAGGGCCTTCCTGCAGAGCCAACAGGCAGAGAAAGCCTTCGCCTGGAGCTGACGTCCTGATTTTGGACTTCCAGCCTACTAGACTGTGAGAGAATAAACTTCTGTTTGTTGAAGCCATCCACTTGTGGTATTTCTGTTATAGGAGTACCAGATCACTAAGATAGGTGTAATTTATAAAAAATATATTGTATGTCTGTATGTGTATGCATATGCGCACAGACACATAAAAGACTGGCAGACCTTAGATTCTTAGGATGAAATTAAAGACTCGTTTCATTTCTAACCAAATTAATGGTTAATAGCAACCTTTTTGGTAAATTAGCTTCAATATGCATTAATGTCTGGAAGACAGAAATAATATCTTAAAATTGGAAGGTACTGCTGAAGATCAAATCCAACTATTTCAGTGCTGTTGTTCGATGCTGTCGAGTTGGTTCCAACTCGTAGCGACCTCACAGTGACCCTATGTACAACAGAACAAAACACTGTGGCAACCTCATGATCATTGCTATGCTTGAGCCCATTGCTGCAGTCACTGTGTCAATTCATCTCATTGAGGGTCTTCCTCTTTTTCGCTGACCCTCTACTTTACCAAGCGTGATGTCTTTCTCCAGGGATTGGTCCCTCCTCATAACATGTCCAAATTACTTGAGATGAAGTCTTGCCATCCTTGCTTCTAAGAAGCATTCTGGCTGTACTTCTTACAAGACAGATTTTTCCATTCTTCTGGCAGTCCATGATATATTCAATGTTCTTCGCCAACACCATAATTCAAAGGCATCAATTCATCTTTGGTCCTCCTTATTCACTGTCCAGCTTTAGCATGCATATGAGATGACTGAAAATGCCATGGCTTGATCAGATGCACCTTAGTCCTCAAAGTGACATGTTTGCTTTTTAACACTTTAAATAGGTCTTTTGCAGCCAATTTGCCCAATGCAATATGTCATTTGATTTTGACTGCTGCTTTCACCATATTTCTTCAATTTGTATGCTGAACAAATAACCTGAGAAGCTGGATTATATGAAGAAAAACAGCAGCAGGATTGGAGGAAGACTCACTAACAACTGCAATATGCAGATAACACAACCTTGCTTCCTGAAAACAAAGAGAATCTGAAGCACTTACTGATGAAGAACAAAGACTATGGCCTTCCTTCAGGATGGATTACACCTCAACATAAAACAAAAATCTTCACAACTGGACCAATAAGCAAGATCATGATAAACAGAGAAAATACTGAAGTTGTCAAGGATTTCATTTTACTTGGATTTCATTCTAGAGGTGATAAAACTGAGACATAGAGGCTGAAAAGCCTAATGAAACATAGCTTTCTAATGACATGTTAAAAAAAAGGAGGCAGAGGAGCAAATTAATTTTCATATCTATCATTGTATCTTAGTCTACAAAATGTAGCTGAAAGTGTTTCTGGCTCCTCTAATGACCAAAGCACAGTTAATTTTTTTAAGGGTCCTATAAATCACTGAGATCCAAGAAAGGGAAGGCTACGTACCAACAAAGAACAGACATGCTACTCCCAAATTTAAGAATTTCATAAAAAAATGCAATCTGAATAGAGAATGGCACATATACACCATATACTAGGGATGAGTCTAGAGTAGGGGTAAGGTGGCAAGGGTAATGGGATGGGAAATAAAGAACAAAGAGAAGACAATGGTAATAGCCATTTAACTATCATCTTCTCAGTAATGGTTTGAGGAAAACTTTCATATACAGGAAAGTGGTTAAAAACACAACTTCCTTTATCCTTGTGAATCATTTTTTAATTGGTAAACTCAGGAATTAAATTTGGAGGATTCCAAGCTTTTAAAAATAGAGTAAATAGACAGCAGCTGGATGTGCATTTGACAATTAAAAGAAACTAGATAAACCCTTTTTTAGTCATAAAATAGGGAAATTTGTGCTTATTAAAGGCTATGAAATTTACTAGCACAAATAAAAAAAAAAATCACTAGAGAAATTTCATGATATCAGACACAATGGGTTTTAAATCACAGGCATACATTATTATGCCTAAATTGACAGATCTGCACTGTGATGCAGAAATGCAAGCACTATTCCAACATCTGCACCAGTTGGCAGAGATTAGACATGATTCCAGAATAAAGGGCTCTTTAGCTCTTACCTGTTACCTGTGCAACAACTGCTTGGGAAATCCTCCGATTGGCAAGAAAGGCTTTGATTTCCTCTTTTATCACACTGCTGTCCCTCCTAACAAAAACAGAAGACAAGACCAACAATGTATGTTGAAGGTAGAAATCCTCATCTTTGCTAAGAAAGGTGAAGTAGAAAGGTGGGAAGAACACAGAAAGAAAAGACACAAAAATAAAAGCTAAACAGACCAAATGTATAAAAATATGAAATCAAAACAAACCAAGAAACACCAAATATTCAAGTCCTAAAACATCTCATCATCAGACAGACACTTTAGTGAATGCCACAGTAGTTTAAGTCTCATACCAGAAGGATAATTAATCACATGCTGTGTATAATTCACATTAGGAACAAGGCAGCCATATGGTATATACAAAGTTTCATTACTGGGAAATGAATATATCTTACACAGACAGAAATCCTAGAAAAATAAAAAGCAACAACAACAACAAAAATCAGATGTGAATAGACTCTGGGTTCACATGTTAATTATGCAAGTGCATAAATGATACTCATTTTTAAAACCTTTGCTAAGATAATAAACAGAAATCTCATCATCATTCTCACAACTACTAAAATATCAGCCATTTTAAGAAATGCTTTGCCCTTTAATTTTCCTTCTTTTTCTTGTGTAAATAAAAAACTATTTAAAGTGCCATGGGTTGAACAGAAAATTTTAATATTAAAAAGGCACTTATTAATTTCCTATTACACGTAAGTCAGAATACTTAGTATTTAAAACTACACTATATTCTGTGTCCTCTGGATTATATATTACAGACTTCATTTCTCCTGCAGTAAGATGCCCATTAGAAATTTTTAGTTATTTAAAAACTCCACAAATTCTCAGAAGACTAGACATTCACTAGACTGACCTTTAAAATTGACCAGTTTGTCTTTGAATGCTATATTTTCACAAAGGTTACATAAATAAAGCACCGATTTTTGTTCAACCTCAAAAATAACACATAATAGTGGTAATTTATTATCTAATACAGGTAATTTATTATCTAATACTCCTGTCAGCAAACTATGGGTTATGGGCTAAATCCAGCCTGCAGCCTGTTTTTTTACAACCTATGAGCTAAGACTGGTCCACAGGCGAACATTTACGATCAATTTCATGACGGGAACACTATCTTTAAACCCAACTAGGCAAAATATGACCCCTTCCAAAAATAGTCCATTCCTTTCATTAGTAGACCTGTGTTACAAAATAAAAAATGTTGCCAACTCTGATCTAATATGACACGAGAGTTATTAAACCTTTATAAATCGTTTTGTGAATGGAACCCAAACTCTTTATAGGAGCTCAAATTTCTTTGTAGATCATTTGGAGAAACTAATGAAAAGTATTCTATCCGAAAAGAATCAGTTGTGATATAATCTAAATCAGGTGTTTCAACTTCTTGGTGAGAAGGGGCTATATGCTTGTGGATTCCATGCTCCCTTTTGGAAATTCTGGAAGAGTAGAAAGGTAATAGTGGTGACAGCTTCGACTCTGGAGCCATACAGTATATTCTTGATCTGCTGGTTGGAAACCCTGATCAAGAAGATTCCTAAAGGAAGAAAATAGCTGCCTATTCCAGTATTTAAAATTTCTCATACTAAGCTAGATTCTGACCTAGATACTGGCTAGATTCCCCCCAAAATATATGCTTGTATTTGAAATATTTCTTTGAAAAACACACATTCTTATTTTATTTCAGGATTTTGTATTTGAAAAACAAAATACACACAAATAAATATATTTTAAAGCCAAACAAAATAACTGCTGATTAAAATACAGGTAATGTAGAACAGTTCTCAAATATCCATTACTAATCAGTATCTTTACCAGTATCTATCTCAACTGGCTATATAAATAAAATAAACGAATCATTTGGCTTCTGATACAGATGCAAAATTAATCTGACAGAAAATTTAAATATAATATTATATTTCAATATATAGAATATTCTAGGAAAATGAAAATTGAATTTAAGAGAATATTTATTAAGGTTAAACAAAAAATGTGTTTTGTGGATAAAAATGATTAAATGGTATTTTCTTGACTGTCGATTTAATTTAATTTAAAACAGTTTAATTCAAATTTACCTAGAGTAGATAGTAAATCGTACAGAGGAGATAACACTCAACTATTCTAACAGGGAATTATCCAGTTTGTGAATTATTCACAACTTCGCAGTATAATATTATCAAAGGCTGCAGCAAATAAAAGGAAGCCCAAAAGTCTGCAAGATAGCAGGAATTCACTTACCCTTTCATAGACTATATCTTTAGATACTTGACAAGTTTCTAAGAACCCACAACGAGTTAAAAAAAAGCAAAACAAAACAAAACAACATACTCTTTACAGAGAAGTTTTTTCATATTGAAGAAAAAACGTAAGGCTTAAAAGATAAAGGTACGCTTGGGCAAGTCATTTAACCAAGCTGGGCCTTGGTTTCATCATCTGGTAAAACGAGAGCACTAATAATCTTTTCACAGGGTTTTAAAATTTTTCTCCAATAACTGAAATTAAATAATATTAAATGTCTGTATGTATATAACAAAATCAAAAATTTTTCAAAATAAAAATCTTTGAAACCACAAAAACAGTAATAAACACTGACTCTTTATTTTATAAAACCTCAGAAAAGATACCACGAAAAGTAGAAACAAATGATTCTCTATAACCATATAAGATAGAGGTAAACATCTGTATCAGATAATTTGAGGCACCATGAAAAGACTTCAGTAAAGTCAACTTAGATACAATCAGTGATATGCCATTTAGTCGGTTTTACCAAGTACTATCAAATTAGAAACAGCATTCAACTTTCATTGTGGTCAATTCCCTAATGTATTTCAAAGATTTACATTCTACTGGGTTAGCTTTCCGACTTACAGGGTTATTATGAGTCGGAATCGACTCGGCAGCAATGGGTTTGGTTTTTTTAAGGTTGGGGTTAGCTTTGTTATTTAAACTCTCACGTTGTTGAAGTTGTTGCTAGCTGCAGTCTAGTAGGCCCCTGCCTCATAGAGATCCCATTCACAATGGGATGGGACAGTTGTGATCCATAGGATTTTTACTGGCTGATATTTCTGAAGTAGATTACCAGGCCTTTCTTCCTAGTCTGTCTTAGTCTAGAAGCTCTGCTGAAACTTGTTCAGCATTATAGCAACATGCAAGCCTCCAGTGATAATGGACGCCTGTGAGGTGGATTGGCCGGGAATCAAACCCAGCTCTTCCGTATGGAAGGCAAGAATTCTACCACTGAACCAATGCCTCATAAACTTCCACACATTTCCCCTTATTCTCACCTCACTCGGCCCTCTTTTATGACCTCTCTCTCCTACTGTTTACATTATATCCTATGAAGTCACCAGTTTTTTAGCACAAAAACCCCTTCATTTATTTCAATTCTAATTCTCTTCTCTTACTTCCTCTCTTCATCTGAGATTTTACATCTTCCTTAAAGAAAAACCAAAAAAAACCCGTTGCCATAAAGTTGATTCCAACTCATAGCGACCCTATAGGACAGAGTAGAACTGCCCCACAGGGTTTCCAAAGAGTGGCTGGTGAATTCAAACTGCCGATGTTTTAGTTAGCAGCCAAGCTCTTAACCACTGCACCACCAGGGCTCCCCTTAAAGAGAATGAATCCCTTATTCACCCTTTCTCTTATACAAATCTCACACTCTTCATGATTTCTATACCTCAAGACTTAATGGAATTAAAGTGAAGGGCAGGCTGACCTTTCCTCTGATTCCATACCTTACTTCCAAGATAAGCCAGCACTCTTTATTTGCATTTACCACTTGAAGTCCATGTTTTCTCCCCCTACTACCCTTTTCAAATCACTGTAACGCAGGATTCATCTATCTAGATGATTTCAACATAAGGATGAAATTCCTTCTTTCTACATTCCACTGCAGTTATTTTTAAAGCTTGCTAAACTTTCCATTGTTACCCAGACCTTTCTTAATATCCAGATGAATTCATCTGTGATGCCTCTTTATAGAAACACTCCCTTTTTAAGACACGATTTATCTGTCACCTATTCAGAGTTCTCCTTGTTTTCCCCAGCTAAAAGGATCTTTTCTTCCAATGGTTAACTTCAGCATTTCAATTATACTACTCACATGTTAATGCAATACATGTTATTCTGTTGTATGATTGTTCCTGATCTTGTCTTATCTCTCCTACTAGCCTGTAAAGATTGTGTCTTATTCATTGTGGGCTTTGTCTGTACAAGAGTAGAAGAGCTTAATTTGTTCAACGAATGAAAAAAAATCTATAAGATAAAAGGTTTTATAAAATGGAAAATCCAATCTAGATAATGTTTAAAACAGTTTTAAATTCTAATTCTATTCTTAAATATGTTTAAGCTCCCCAAATCAGAATGGAAAGGAGTTATTAATATTAGTTCATAAAAACATTTCTTGCTTTTCTGGACTAAAGGATACTAAGTATTGCCAATGTAAAAGTGGTACACTTAAGATCTTCCATATGCTTTTAGTTAATATACACTATCCATACTTTACCCCTAAAGGTAGTCCTCTATCTCAAAGATTTCCAGAGATAGAGAATATCTACCAAGACAGACTATTTCACAGTTGAAAAAATATAATTACTTATAAATTCTTTCATGTTTGAATAAAAGCCTGCTGCCTTTAATTTCCATGGAGATAAAGAAAACATAATTTAAAATTTTAGAAAGATACCTCTAAAAGGAAAACTACTCTAGCTGTATAAATGACATGGTAAGTACATATCATGACCATATCATCTTATTACGTACAGAACAAAATACCCTACGTACAGAAGTAAATGCCCTATTGTTAGGCCAACAGATAACTAACTTAGAAGAAAGAAAGTCTTGGAAGTTTCTACAAAATACTAATACACTCATAAAATTTACTAAACAGGTAGTTAAGAATAATATCTTTAATGTTTACCATTGATTATTAATTCTGATCAACGTCATTTGGATTGTTATTTTATAATATATACCCATTAGTAAATGTTCACTGTTACCAGATACATATGTATGTGTCTGTGTCTGTGTGTGT